GGGGGGGGGGGGGGGGGGAGAGGAATGCTAAAGTATACCTCTAGCGACTACTGAGATAAATACTGAAATACAATTAAGTTACAAGCTTACCAAATTACGTGTTTCAGAATTCAAATTAAAATGGCGGAGATTATGCCACGTGACTACCAAAACAAGAGACGCTTGGAATTGGTTGAGCGAGGTATGATTGTAAAGTAGCTTGGCTTTTGAAATGTATAGTCTGTGAACTTCTGATGTGGCCCGGTTTAGAACATTAATGGACTTTACTTTCTTGTTCGATGAAGTGTACATTTGGTAGTAAACGTTAGAGATATGTGATTGATAGAAGGAATATGGATCTGTAGTTGCCCAGTATGGTGCTAACATTGCAAGGCCAAGTTCACAGCCTTCGGTAGTTCTGCTGAATGGCTTAGGCCAGCGAGGGAGAAAATGTGCTCCAAAGCGAATCACGCCGTTATGACAAAGCTGGATCACGAAAGAGACATTTGTTAGACTGAGTTTCGTTCCTTTATCATTCAATTGCATAATTAAAGACTTACGTAAAGCCTATGATAGCGTTTCCTTAATATAGTTATCCCGTCTTCATCGAGTTCAACCCCAAAGCATTTTTGAAGGTTTCCCCAAGTATGTGGAACGACGCTATCTCCCACAGAAGGCCCATAATCGTACATACGCCTTATCGTTGGAATTTCTGTAGATGTCGGTTCTTTAAAAAGAACGAAGAAGTTAGCAAAGAAGAAGAAAATTCCTTATTTTTGATATTATGACATTTACAATCTCATAAGGCATCTATTTCAAAAAAGGATAGTGGGGGTTTTGTTGCTTGTCGCGACAGGGCAGAAAAACTGGTTCTACTTTCGACGTTTATGCGTTAATAAGCTTTATATTTCATAAACAGGCTCTTTTGGGGCTGATTAACAAAATACAAAAAAATTTGGGGAAATTTAAGGAATGCGTATTTGAGATATAACGTTGGGAGAGATGATATTTTGATCAGCACAAAAACATTTTCCCTAATACCTCGAAGTAAAATTGCTCGGGGTTAGCAGAATTTTGATACACAAGAGATACGAATGAAACACTCCGGAAACACTAAACGTTTTTTTGCATGAATGAGAGATAAAGAAAAAAATTTCGAAAGTAGCAGCCTTGTCGTTTTTCTGCTCTGTCGCTTGTCGCATGTTAATTACATGTCCCTTGTTTCATTTTGCTTACCAAGYTGGAAATGTGTTACATTCATGGTTGTAAAAATTATATCAACACAGAAAAAATGCCGCAAAAACGTACAGCTGAGAAGTTTAGGAAAATTTCTTATCGTTTTGACCTTTCGCTAATTTTATTATCATAGCCAATAGTACAGTTCGAGCTTTGTATGCAAGTATGTAACATACAACATGTACCAAAACCTTCACCAACCTCTTTTGAAATAGCTGTACTTTACAACCATCACTAACCGTAAGGGGCTGTTCCGTGAAGATCTGTTTGTTGGGATTTATTTGAGAAGTAGCGCTCATAAATGTGGGCCAACTTTATGAAATATTTAAATTTAATTATAAAATATTCCCGAGGTAAATATTCACCATAATCACTGAGCCTGATGGGAACAATTGTTTCAGTATAATTTTAGACTTGAATATAGGATAAAAGACGAAATTTAGGATTTAAAATTTTGGAAAAATTCATAATCACCGCTTGAGCAGTGATTATCGTCTCATAATCACTGGTTGCTCGACCAATCAGAGCGCGCGAAAATCTATATGCAAGTCTAAAATTATACTAATTAAGGTAGTACCGGGTCATCAAAATTCTTCTATGATTTTTTTTAAAATTCTGTCATTTGAAGTTCATTGTTAAGGTATTCAAATAATGAAAAAAGAGCAAGGAGTCACCGTATTGGTTATCGAGATATAAGGCTTCAAAAAGGAGGGATTTTTCAGTTTTCCGCGCGTTTTTGCCGAAAATCTGCCTCCTCTAATAAATTCGAATTACTCGAATCGATTTAACAAAGAAAAACAGAAAACTGTTTTAAACTATAGGTGTTGAGACAAGAAAACATACTAGATAAAAAATCCATCCAATCTTTTGCAAGTAGTGTGAAAAGTAAACATGTCTAGAAGCGAAATTGCTTGTAACTCGGCGCAGTTATATGCGTGTGTAGTAGTAAAAATGTTGAAAATTCATGACAATTATATTTTAACTATGAATTTTTTTCTTTCCCCACTAAATCCATATAATAAGGTTTCTAGCTCGGAATGAAAAGAAAAAAAATGGGGGTCACCGTACTAATAGACGAGCTATGAGCGACTAAATCCAAGTTTTTGGTCAAAAAACACAAATCCTGTCCGAATTTGAATTTGTTGTTTTGAATCAAAAGAGTGATCAAGTCAGGCAATGAAAATCTAAGCATATTTCGAAAACATTTCATTTTTGCCTCAAAAATTCCATGAATTAGCGAAATACTTTGTTAAGTTATAGAAAAGGATTCAACTTCTGACATTATTTCAATCAATTTTCAAAACAGCGCAAATAAAGGGTAAAAAACGAGATGCGCGTAATGGATGCGCAGTAGCAAGGGTCCGGAACTACCTTAATATATCTGCAACTTCAAGGAAATTCAAGCACGGAAAATTCTAAGAGACAAGTGGAAACAAAATATGAAAAAGAAAGACAGTGAAAGGAAATCAGAGATCATCTGTTGCTCATTATAAAATAACTAAGATATGACGCACGCCCTGATTGGTCAATTACCGTTTTATATAACTCAGCATAGGGAAATGACGTCAACAACGCAAGCAATGTTTTATTATTTCTTTTGAGTTAACCGTTAGTTATATCTTAGTTATTTTATAAAAGAGAAAACTCCCCTTGCTCGTGCTATGTTGAGTTATACAAGCACTTGGGAAATTGCGTGAGCCCTCGAGAAGTGCCGTGCTTCTCCTAGCACTTCTCTCGGACTCAAGCAATTTCCCGCGTGCTTGTATAACTCATTATAGCACGCGCGCTCGTTTTCTATCTCTTCATGGAAGGTCAGAAAGTATCCTTCCTCAAGGTCACCGGCAGCGCGCGAAACTCTATATTGAAGTCTAAAATTATACCAACATGTAACTTACGTTGTGGCAAAGTTTTAAATGTCACTAACTGGCTCTTGTACACTCGTCCATTAAAATATCCTACTGCTCTCGCTTCATATTCTTTGAGCGGAAGAAGTCCCCGGATGGTGATATTAGTCGAGGATGTCGTAGAAACTTTCCAAGTCTTTTGGCCCTCCTTTTCTTTGTATAGAACCACAAGCTCCGTAAATTCGACTTCGAGGTTTTCAATATCCAGCATTGACTCTGTTGCAGTATTAGACCTTACTTTCAGGTCAAGGCCTTTAAATTATAAATCATTATTACATTATACCTACTACTGATAAAGTATATATTATAAAGACTATATGCGCAGCTTGAATTGATTAATAAATGCACGAATATCTAATCCAGTCTTTGATCTAACTTTTAAATATTTTTAGCCTAAGCGTCAATTTTCGTATACAGAAATTTCTCACCCAGTTGTAAGGTTTACAGTTATATTATCGTCACGATAAAAGAATTTGCAAAATTCAAGCACTTTCAGGACGCACACCAGCGAATCACCAGCGGGACACAATATGTGACAAACTCTTTGTATACGCAAGTTGTTTTCATTGTTTTCTGTTTTCCTTGATTTTGGTCCAAAATTGCACGACACGAAGTTCAGTTACCACTTTATCATATCCTTTTTGTAATCATACACAAGAAAAAGACACAATAAAGAGTGCAGAATAATCAATTTAATGTAGAAGAAGTAAACCAATCAGGTTTTTCCTAACATAAAATAAACGATTTATCAGAAAACCATTGAATATTCATAAATAATGCTAATCATTCTCTTCTCTGATTGGTTGAATATAAGAATTCTGTTCTGTGATTGATTCTTTCAAAAAGATGCGATTAAGAACACAAAAGGATGCGATTAAGAGCTCCTAAGGATGCGATTTGGGAATTAATAGCACTCCTTTGAACCAATCAGATTGCAGTATTTGGTGGTGATTACAAAAAGGATATGATTAAAAGAACTATCCGAGAACTTTATGATATTAATTGGGTTTGAATCTCTTTTTCTGACATTTGCCAAGGTAGTAAGAATTTCAACAAAGCGGCTTTTGCTGTTCAAAGATAAAAGCAAAGAAACTTCACAATATCACGGATATATCACGGATGTTTAATTTAGATTTTTTTTATGGCACTGGCTCACCTTTAGAACTCTTATCAATCGCATAAAAAGTTGCATTGAAGCCTTTCTTTTCAAGTGCTCTATCTGAACGCAGTATGACAATTGCAGGTCTTTGCGATACAACAACAAATGGACTTTTCTTTCCACAGTACTGGCCAAGTTGATTCCCCTTGTTATCCGTTATCTTGACGTAATCATTGCTTCAAAAAACATAAAATATAAGAAATCTTAGAAGTTTGAAAATGGTCGAAACTTATTACTAGTGTCCATTTAGCTTTCGTAGTCTACTGAAGAGTACGATCGTTTTCGATCGTTTACGATCACCACCGTAATCGATCGCAAAATTAGAACCGGGTTCTAATTTTGCGATCCGTATCGATCCGTTTCGATCGCCTGAGATCATATGGAAACACTTTTTTCGATCGTACGATCGAATTGTATACCATTTAAATAAATAATATATCATTTTTCGCAAGATGTAATGCTTCCTAAACTGTACATTTTATTGAAGAAGTGGCCAAATACGACTACCTTTATAATCGCTGCAGCAAAGGCTTCAAGGACAAACACAAAAAATCGAATGCCTGGAAAAAAGTAGCTGAAGTTTTCGGTATTCTGCCGACTCAAGCACACGTAATAAGTAAATTACGAGCCTTAGATGAAACGACTGAAGAAGAGTGCCATACAAGCCTTTCACAACCTCAAGTCGCGTAAAAAATGAGCCAGCTCAACTAGAAACTGTGGACAGCTGTTTCGGCCTGTATTGGGCCTCGTCAGCACAGTGTATCTAGTGAGCTGGCAATGCCACGAAAAAGTAGTACTAGATAGATGTGGCAGTGCCCCATGTGGGATGGGCTTGGATATCAAATAAGAACATGCGTAATAAGTAAATTACAAGCCTCAGATGAAACGACTGAAGAAGAGTGCCATACAAGCCTTTCACAACTTCAAGTCGCGTAAATAATCGCGTTAAAAGCACGCAGGAGAAGACTGTTATGGACCGGAATTTATAAGGCATTATTTGAAACAGATGATTGACGTGTCTGCTACAGCAAAATTAACGCGGTGAAATGTGCATAGCGCAGAAAAACCTTTTCAAAGGTGTTATTACTAAGGATTTGTTTCTGGCGTTCTTCTAAAGCATTTAAAAAATAGATATCTATCTTATTTTTAAAAGATATTTAGAAAATAAAGCCTTTCTTGCGGCTGGGATATCGGCTGGTCATGCGGCCCGAGAATGAAAAATTGTTCGAAAAAAAAATGAACAGTTGTTAATCTATTCCTGTTATTATCTGCTCATTCTTCGTKTTTCTTTTTATGTTTCTGCAATTTTAAGGAAATTCAAGCATGGTAAATACGAGGAGACAAGTGGAAACAAAATATGAAAAAGAAAGACAGTGAAAGGAAAGCATAGATCATCTGCTGCTCATGGACAAGGCCAGAACGCTTCTAACTTCTTACCTGCAACTATTGCTGTCCTCTAAATCAAAAGAATCGAACAGGATAACAATTTCGTCAAGTTTTATTCCTTCTCCGACGGTCCAAGAACAACTCACATCATTTGGATAGTTATTTGGATGATTTGGACTTGAAAATTCACCATACCTGCCTGAGAGTTTCTCATCACAATCAACACCTAAATGCATAAAAGGTTTATAAGTTTTAAATTTCCTTTAAATTTCCTTTAAATTTTCCTTCCTAGGCCAAGTGTAGCAGCCCCTTCTGCTAATTTTACAAGGCTAGTTTTCCTGAAACTCTCAAAAGTTATTCCTTTGGATATCAGATATCTCCTTAAGTCATACACACTGTAATTTGCAAATGAATAATCTTCCATTTCTTTTGATTTTACACTTGTTGATGATTGTTGATTTGATTTTTGTCCTAACTTTCGTTTGAACCAATCACAAAGCGACACTTATACACGTGATTTGTATTCAAATTAGCCGTCTCTTTAGTAAGAAAAGGTGAATTATCAGTTTCTCACCTGTCTTTATAAAGACAACTCGGCTTCTTGGTCCTTGACCAGGCCGTGTGAGTCCAGCGATTGTAATGCGGTATTCCGTAAGGAAACCAAGATTCTTCAGCACAACGAACGTTCTATTTGCATCTACAAATACCATTCTCTCGTGACTGTTATTCGACGACAAAGTTGGCTGATAGTAAACATGATATCCCAGTAGTATACCATTTACGTATTCACTAGGAATCGGATCCCACTTGACCAAGATATTGTCTACGGCTCTAACTCCTGCTACAATATTTACCGGAGGTTGACTGGGAGCTACGGGAAAAAAAGACAGATATTTAGACAGAAATTGACACATGCAGTATCTATTTAATCGATAATTTAATGATATCACGGTTGCAAAATAATTGATAATCGTCAATAGATAGTATGTTTTACCATCCTCCATCGTTCGTACGGTGATATTTGTACTCCGTTGAAAAGATGTTTCATTTCGCATTGCACTTGTCGAGTTACTTGAATTGCCTAACACTACAATCACTTGTACGTAGTATGCAGTGTACTTCCCAAGATGCGTAACGTTCACACTTCTGTCTTGACCATCAGTGCTTGCTACAGATATCTTAGTATGGTTCTTGACAGAAATACAAACAGCCAAGTATGACACTACTTGGGTTGATGCTGCCATATTACTTGAGAGAGGATATTCGGACCACTGGACGTTGAAGGTGGATGAACTACTACTCTTAGCGCTGATGTTCCAAGTTGGTTCCACAAGTACTAAAGCAAAATGATATTATAAGATATTGCATTTATAGTTTTCTGGAAGCCCTGGGCTTCGAAGGGTAGGGAAGGACTTATAAACGACAGGAAAAGTTGATTGGGATGAAGAGGAAACAGTTATTTCTTCGTCATTAACGCCATGAACGCGAGTGAGAAACCAGAGGTGGACTTCTAACTGGTTAATAATTGGAAGGATACTTGAGTTAGCAGACTATTGGGCTTATAACCGGGAGAGCTTATAACCAGATTTTATGGTCATTGAATACCTTGGTCTGTCACTGAACACATAAAACATAAAACATGTTGAGTATTTATATTTTTAACTTACCATCATCAAGGCCATTGTCAAGCATGTGATACTTTGCTTTCATTATGAATCCATCACGTCCTAACCCCCCATTTGAGTAAGACTGTAGTTTGGCCGTACCAAAGGATATAAAGGTAAAAAACTGTCTTCGACCGCATAACTTGTGAACCATTTGGCCTTTGTTGTCAAATAAAGCAACAAAAAACCGCCTGATCGTAAAAAATAAAATGAAAACAAAACTTCAAAAAGTTTTTATATATTTTACTTTGTTTTCTTATTTTATTTCCCTACTGATTACAATACATTTACCATATGTTAGCGCGCGGTTCAGCTACTTTCTTCGTTCTATTTTATTCTATTTTTCAGTTCCTGTTCTGCAAGTTTAGCTCTGCTCTACTAATTGTAAAGAGGAATTAATTTATGAGGAAAACTAAACGCAAATATGAATAAGAACATCAGTGGCTCACGGAACGCCAGAAAGTCCAGTACAGTATACTGAAGACTAGATCACAAGACGCTAAAGACAGGATAAACATATATAAGGGAAAAGCCATGATGAGCAACCGAAATATCAGAAATATCAACTGAAATTTCGGTAGATAAGGAACGACTAACGCATTATGATTTATGTTTCCAGGATTATGGTATTAGTATGTTATAGTTGGGAGATACTTGTCCTAATCTTGTTGAATATTTAGTAACTGGGCGCTGTCAGTAATCGCCACAGATAGCCCGACTTTGTTGCAGAAAATCTTTAATATTTCGATTAACTATTTAATAACATTTTAGTATATATCAATTATCTACATGAATTACAGTAATTTTTGAATTGTTCAAGTTCCTTGTTTTAGTTAACCAATTAAATATCAAACAATGAGTGTCAAAGCTCTCTTTCACGGTCTTAAAAAAGGGAATGGGGAGAAGCTTGTTTTTTTCGTATTTTCGTAGTTTTTTCTTGTTTTTCGTCTTCGCCAAGCTCGTAAATGTCTCTCAGCCGTTTCGCCAGCCGACGAACACGCTTGTCCGCCATCTTTGACCTCAGGGTAAAGAACCGCAATCCAAATATGGAAGTATATGATTCAATATATGGAGTGACCTTTCTCAACTCCAACTTTGACACTAATGTATGGAGCAAAACTTGATATGAAACGATTGCAAGAGATGTCAGTCAAGTTTGTGCTTGACTTCTTCTTTTTGATGTTATCCGGATATCATTTAAGTGCATGTAGCACAGAATTTAGTTAGTTGCTAATTAGTTATCCCTGAATAATAGTCCCCTTCACAGTTGCAGGTGCCATCTTGAAAGGTAGCCGTGCCTTTGCATCGAAGGGAGACGAGCGGTGAGCTTAGAGTGTTAGAGACTTTTTTTAACACCTTGAACAATTATTCACACGTACTCTATCATTGCAAGCTCCCCGTTCGTCTCGCTTCGATGCAAAGGCACGGCTACCTTTCAAGATGGCACCTGCATCTGTGAAGGGGACTATTGCGAAGAAAGGAGAAGTCGAAATAAAGAAAGGAGAAGAGAACTAAAAGAAACGAGAAATATTTTGTGTTGCCAGGGGACAAACTAGTCTTCCCTCGCACAGGAAACTCCCCTCGTGACATCAATTTTTTTTTTTTTGCACCGGCTAACTAAACTAAACTAAACTAAATTAAAACGCCGGAACAATATCTTGCAGTTGAAAATCATTTGAAGCTAATACAGCAAACCATTTAAGTTTAGTACTTCATACCTGCACTGATGAAATATTGGGACATCCACCGATTCCAGTGAAACCACAATCATTCCTGAATTAGAAGGTGCCCTTAACGTCCACACGCAATCCATAGTCCACCAAATATTTCTATTATAACGTGGATGGCTTATCATGCCATGTGCYCGCTGTTCAATTCCTCCGCATTCTTTTTAGGTGTAAAGCAGAGCATGCATTAGTCTGATGCCTCATATGCTCTTTACACGTGACTATATATTTAATGTATTCAACTTACTTGTTATTGCACTAATCCGACTCCATGGTCCCTGACCTTTACTTGTAAATCCACATATGTTGATAGAATACCTCATAACAGGCAAAAGATTCTTAAGAATTACTTTTGTGTCATTGGTGGTTAGGTTTTTACTGTTGTAGTGTTCATCATCAACGTACTGCACTTGGTAACCAAGAAGAACGCCATGGGCACGGTCACGCGGTATTGGATTCCACTGCAGGTGAATAGTGCTCGTACTCGTGGAAACAACATGAAAACCCGATGGACTTTGATTTGGAACTAAACAAAAATTGAAAGAAAGAAAAAGAAATAACTGGGGTGAAGAATGAAAGACAAAAAGAACTAAAAAACAAAAAGAAAAAGAAAATCTTCTTGATAAAATACAAAGATGGTGGTATAAGCAGACATTTTTAAAAAGTCAGAGCCTTCTTGATTTTATTGGCTTTCTTGATAAAGATCCTGTGATAAGATGATAAGCACAAAGCTCACCTCCTTCCATGGTTCGTATCTCAACTGCCTTGCCCTTGTACATCATCATACTACCATCGGTAATGTTAATACCAATGGCAAATACTTGCACTTTGTAGTTCGTCCATCCCACAAGCTGATAAAATGAAGCAATTTTCGTTTCGTTATCAGCAATAGCGTACGATACAATACCATGCCAGACATCTGTTGAATTACAGGTGATGAGATACCCAATGACTTTGAAACCATCAACAGTGAAAGATCCGCAAGCCACACTGATGCTCTGGGGACTGGGACTTGATACTAAGATGGAAGCGTTTTGTGTAGGAGCTGAAAGTTTTTAAAGAGCATAAATAAATACAGTAGTAACATCTGAGTCTACCAGAGTTTACCATTAAAAATCTACGGTTGAACACTGACTTTTTTCTTTTGTTCTCTTTCTTGTAAGTCGGTTTGTTTGTTTACCTTTTTCCGGGCTTGTTTTACAGTGAGAAAGAGTTGAGATTACAGCGCTTTCCATTTACACGCGCTAAATCGTACAATTTGCCGTCGCGACGAAGTAGGTTTTAGTGGAAGTCAGTCAACTGAATCAAGGCGTTTTCTATGGCATATGGAATGTGCCATCGAAAATTTAACAATTTCATGGAAACACCTTGACTGACGTTTATAAAATTCCTAGTTTATAACTGGAGCGCTTCATTCATATATGATTAGATAGTTCAGACATGCCCTGGTCTACCAGTACACGAACCTTCACTGGCATGCGGGCAGTGAAGTAGATCTAATCTTTTTTAATAAATATTATTCACATCTAAATGACTTAACAGTTTCGAATTTCGAATCGTCTTTGATTAGAATATTAGTCACAATGACTTTTGTTTTCCTTTCGCAAGATCCAAATTGGACATTCAGTTGATGCTTTTTGCTCGCCATTGTTAGATATTCCGAGGTTGAACAGGTAGTGGGTCGAGTTGACATTGTGGAACTGACACAATCAGCAGACAATTATTCGCCGAAGGCAAAGTGAATATCGGGAAATATTTACCTCGCGTCTCGTTAAATATTCCCCGATATTCACTTCGCCTTCGGCGAAYAATTGTTAAATAGCCTTACCATCATCAAAAGAACGATCAAAAAAGATATAGCGCACGCGAAGTCCTTTCCCTCTTGTGGTAAACGCAGAATAAAACACTAGTTTTGTTGTCTTATCTTGAATTAGGCCAAATGGATTGGTCTTTGAATTACTGAGTCGGAAGAGTTGATGTCCAGATAAATCTTGCAGAGCAACATAGCTGTTTCTGTATAGAAACGAGAAATACTTTAAATTAATCCAGGTATGCTAGAAAGATTAATGTTTTTTACACTACATTAACAGCTGGATCGTCAAGGGTGAGTATTTTCAAGATGGGTGACGTGAGAGGAATATACAGATACCGAATTTAAATATCATGATGTAATAAGGATAAACACAAAAATATATAATTTAATTGTTTCTTTGTTGACTCTAACCTCTTAGTATAACTACGCATTAATAATAAGATATTTATAATAAGATAATAATAAAATGATAAAATAATTAAGTCAATGTTCATTTAAGCACCATAAACGTCCCTAATTTGAAAACAATTATTTTCCGGTCTTTGTTAAAAAATGTCAATGTTATCACTGTATTTGTCGTCTCTGGTTCCTTGTTCAAGTATATTCAAAAAGAAAAAAAGGAAAGATCGTTAATGTGGAAAGATCGTTAATGTCACAGCTAAAAGTACTGAGCCCTTTCTGTGCTTGTATTCTGTCCAAGTTTACACAGTCATGATTGCAAAAAGGAAATGACTCAGGTTCAGATACAACTGAGGTCTCGTGCTACACCAAGAAACAAAGAAAGATTACTGGATGTGGATATTCTCGTTCGTGGCATTAGACCTCGAAGACCTTCATTTTGGAGCTCACTGGGTTTCAGGATCCCCGGGTTTTCTTTGACGTTGGCGCGCAATGAATCCTACCCTGTTTACAAAGTTTAGCATTGCCTCTTGGAGTTTATCAAAAAAGGATGAAAGGAACTTAGAAAAATTTTGAATGTTTTATGAGTTCGTCAAAGAAAGCATTATAATTTCAACAAAATTTTGATACATTTATTAAGTTGACCATGTATTTATTGAGTTGGAAATATTATGCGTCCCAATCGGCATCTCATGTTGAACAAATGTGAAACGTTCATTCATTTCATAGGGATTACGCGTCCCTAAGGTGCGAAGGAATGTCTGTTCGTTAGTTTTACGACATTAAATAATTACATATTACCCCAAACACGGTAAAAACATTAAAATGACGAGACGCCGGTTTATTAAGGTGAACATCTTAAATATGGTTGGTAATACGATCGCCTTAAAGTCTGCCTGTTTGGTTTACATGGTTAAAATGTAAACGATGAATGCAATAGAAAACGTTGGAGGTGATATTGTGAATGTTAATAGCATGATAAGTAAACGTAAATAGATGCGGGTTTTGGTGGCTACGATTATAAGGCATAAGAGCAGTATGCGTAGCTCGTCGAAATTAGAATCTTTAAGACAGTATTAGTAAATATTAAATATTTTTTAGATTGAAAGCATTTAAACCGTGAAATAAAAAATATTAGCATATACCAACTTGTGTACTTCCTAAGAACGCGCGCGCTCATTGGTTAATTGGAGGTGAATTTTTTTCCACGATATTCACCTCTGAATCTCGGAATATTGAGTCGGCAACCAAATGGCATCTGCCAAAATCGTTTTGCTACAATTTCCGATGAGGAAATTGAAAAAATGAAAGTAAATGCCATTCCTATCAATACCAAAAAGGCAACGAAGTATGGCCTAAAAGATTTGCTGAAAGTTTTGCGTGAATTTGTCACGCAAACTAAAAGTTTCTGTTTGTTTGTTTTTATTGAATTATTGCATATAAAAATAGGTTACTCTGTACACAAGTTGGTATATGCCCTAAAACACTCGCGTCTCGGTAAATATTCCCCGATATTCACTTTGCCTTCGGCGAATAATTGCTACCTAGTCAACGTGTAATAGTCAAATAGACATAAGAGAAAACAATGGAATTAAGGTCCGACTAAAGTGTATTAGTCTAATATCTATTGCACGGGTTTAATGACATTACTGCAATCGCACCACAGGGGGCAGAGGGGGCACTTATTTTTCATTGYTATATAATTTACCGCTGTACATAATATGAGTAAGCTTGAGCCCGTCAGATAACGCGCGCTGCAATGCACGCGCTGTGCCATAGCTTAGACGTTGCTTGACGGCCACGCGAGAGGGAAAAATGATCGCACCTTTCATAAAAATTCTATATCATTGCTAAGGAACACAATTACTCTTACCCAGTCCAATGACTGCGAGTCAAATCGATGTCTTCGAAATATAAAGCCATACGAGCACGTGGTATGGGAGGTCTGAATGTCCACTCATAGTGGGCTCGTTCCATGTATCTTGGGTATCCGGGACTGCTGATCACACCAGTCAGGGTTGTAATATTCATGTAAATAGCTGAATAGAAAAAAGGTTGAGCACGGATTATTGGTTGGTCTTCTTTGAAGCTGTCGCTATTGAAGGATAATTCATTCATTAATATTCACGTAAATAGCTGCGCATGGAAAAAATTTGAGAACGGATAGAGTGCTCACACTTAATTTGTGAAATCATCGCTTCAGTTTTTTTGCACAAAATAGTGCACGTGCAATATCTATTTTTTTCTACTTATTGCTTCACAGTGCTATTAAGTAGAATGCAAATATTTATAACCATGAAATAGCACAAAAACCAAATAGCACTAAATTCGTCCAATTGTTTTGATTAGTGTTTCGCCAGTGTTGCTATCTTGCAGGCGGTGCGTAGCCAGGATTTTCCGAAGGGAGAGGCCCAAATTCAAGAAAACATACATAAAATGCAGACATTACGGCTTATTTTTACAAACAAATTACCGTATAAATGCTAAAAATCTACCATATTGCTGCCACGAAGAGGTGAAGGGGGGGGGGGGGGGGNTAGCCCCTATGGCCCTGTACACTCAACTACTAACTGTGTACTATTTCAGGGGTTTATAAATTAGTGCTCACTGCAAAGTACTTTTTAACAGATATAGCGTTTGCACTCTATACTACAATAGCAATAGCAATACTGCCAATTTTCATTTGTGCCTAAATGCATTGATGCAAATAAGTTATTCGATCACTTACATGTTGGCAGTCCGCACACAACACTTGCATCTTCATGATGTCCACAGTTATGTGATCCCCATCCTCTATGCTGACACTGAACTAAAGATGATTCACTTCCACTGCAGCGCACATCATCCATCCAGATTGGACCAGTTCCTTGACCAAAGGCTGCGCTCTGTGGTGCAGCCMCTGCTYTTGGTAGACCCAGTGAACGACAGACCACATTAGCATCGTTCAAATCCCAGCTGTCATCACAGACTGTTCCCCATTGACCATTGTAGAAAACCTCTACTCGACCTTCTGTGCTGTTTGTGTTATTCAACCATCCGACCAGGCGAACATTTGCTATTTAAGGGATAAGTTAAGGGGGAAAAAGTGTTATATAAATGATATAACATGGTCGCGCCATCATAAGGATTTTATAATTATCTTCGAGTGTTGAGGTGATATCTTACGAGTGAGCGCAGCGAAAGAGTAAGATATTCTCAACACGAGAAAGTAAAATCCATGTCTCCAAGCTGCCATGTAATATTCTGTTTAATATATAATTGTCGATGAAATAAAATCTTGGTGAATTTTTACTATTTAATGCAATTCCTAAGAATTCTTAGAGGAGGTACGTTTTATATTGGGGGAAGGGAGGGCTGGGGCCTCAGAGGGAAGGGTCATTAGTCAAACTTGTACACTCAAGGAAAGGGTTACTTCTTTTAATAAGCCAAGCAAGAGGAGGGCCATCCCTTTTTACACCAATTTCAAAATTAGTCTATTGAGGTTTTCAAATGACTAAACCAGATACATAAGAATACGCTTTTCAGTCAAGAGAAGCTTTTAAAAATCAGACAGTGTGGATCACGCGATTGTTTGTTGACATCGCGTCGTAGTATAGTTCAACTGAAAAGTGTTCAAGATAGAGACAAAAGACAGTACGAGCAAAACAAAATAAAAATACTGCAGCCTGTCAATTTATCTTTTGATCATATGAGAGTGTTTAAATCTAGAAAGGTTTACCTCCATTCTCGAATGCAAACTTCTTAACAAATGAACTGTTCACCCGTTGGAAAGCGAAAACTTGTTTGTTAGAAAAACTGGTTCAGTTGCGTTATCTTACAAATTTATTAATGGGATGAGTACATCATAAAAGTATTTCATAGATACGAAGATATATAATCAACATAATCAACTACGCCAGCTATAACTGTTTACGTTCCTATAAGAACGAATGTTTATGTTCTAAGTGAGAGAATGCGGAATATTCGGCTTATATGCACGATATTTTTCTACTAGCCGGCTCTCGATCCTGTGTTTTTTCAAACAAATGTTTGAATACCATGCTCTGTGTTGCTGCCGAGAGAAAAAAACTTTCACAAAAGGAACGTGGTTGTTAAACTATTAAAGACCATAGGAGGGGGAGGGTCATGTGTATTCTTGTTAACTTCAAGGGGAGGGTCATGAGTCTAGCATCGAAATGGCAGGTCAAGATT